GGTCGATTGCGCATGTGTCTCGAGGGTGATAACACAACAGCCTGTATGTAACCCCCTTCCCTGAGGCTGGGGCCCAGGCCCATCCCCCACAACATTGTCCAGGTGAGTCTGAGCTTCTCTGCTCTCACACTCTGACCCTCATGTCTCCATCATGTGTTTGCCTGGCTGTGCATGGACCCAACACGCACCACCTCACAGTCTGCCCTCCCAGCCCCGGTACACGGACCCTTGAAGATGCTGAACTGACAGACAGCAGGTGACAGCATCCTGAGGGCACCTGAGCATTGGAGAAGGCCCTCCTGTTGTTGCCCAGCTTCCTGCCCTGGGGACTGGGCTCACAGTCACCCAGCAGGCTCTGCCGGCACATTTCCCCCCATAACAGCCACCCTCCCAAGCCCAGGGGAAGGGAGCAGCACCCACGTGCTCAGCTGGGAAATGGAGGATCAGAGAGGTAGAGGGACTTGCTCAGGGACACTCAGCTGGCAGTGGCTGCACAGGGTCTTCTCTGCCCCGACCCTTCCTGGTCCCCTTTCTTCCCTCCCTGGCTTATCACCTCCTTCCTTCTCCTCAGTGTCCCTGCCCAGGGCACCACATCTCTTGAACAGTGAATTTTTTACCCTTTCTTACTGTTTGTGTCTGACCTCAGCAAACCTCCTGTAGCGCTCACCCGAGGCCACCCAATCTGAGACCAGGGGCCAGCTTCCCTTTGCCCTCATTCCATGCCAACATCCAACAGTGGTCATTTAGCCTGGAAGCTTCTGTAGAATTCACTTCTTTGTCCATCTTTCCTCCATGACTTTATTCAGGGCCATCCTGTTCCTGATTATGTGACCCCATGTCTTTCTGACCAACCCCCAGACTTCTGTCCCACCTACTCCAGGGCCTGTGTGATCCTTCATGGTGGGCCATTTGGTCCTAATGGGGACGGAAAGTGGAGGGGTTTCTTGCTTGGGCTCCTGGGGCCAGAGCTCTGTGGGTGAAAGTGTGAATGTCTCTGTGGTCTGGGCTTTATCTGGGCTCCAGCTCTGCAGAGAGAGGGTGGTGGCAGAGCTGAGGAGATACAATGGGAAAGCAGGGCCTCAGTGATCACTGTGCTCTGAGCTGTTCCCAAGTGCAGCCTGGAAACTTCTATCTCCAGCCCCACCTCAGACCTGAACTCCAGACTCACATGTCCAACTGCTACTCAACAGCTCTATCTGGATGTCTTACTGGTTACCACCTGAGCATCAAATCCTTAATTCCCCTCCCAAATCTGCTCCTCCTCCTCTCATCTCCTCCATCCAGGCTGCCCATCACCCAATCACAGGGGCTGTGAGCCCTGGAGGTGCTGTGGTTCAGCAGAAAGAGCCCGGAGCACTGGGCATTGAATCCTGCTCCTGCCTCTTAACTAGCTGTGCTTTGGTAAGAGGGAAAGAGGAGAGTGGTAAGGATGCACCCAGATCTTACATAACATGTTCTTGAGCTCTTACATGGGCCACAGACCTTGAGCATCTCTTGCCCGAGGCCTCTCTGGGGCCTTAGGAGACCTATCATGGTCCAGGGTTGGCCCAGACTTTCCCTGGCAGCACACAGGGCATCAGGAGCTGCCTTTATGGTCGATCTTAGAGGCGAAGGATCATCCTATAGGGACAGAGGTGGCCAGAGCCCCAGAGGTCCTCCAAAGATAGCCTTCCTTTGGCACATGGGGAAACTGAGGCACAGGGAGGAAGTGACCTGTTTAAAGGCCCAGGAGTGGATCCAGAACATACACGAGATTTCTTCCCAGACATCCTAACTCCTAGCCAGGAGGAAGCATGGAGCATAATTTTGCATCATTCAGGGTAAGTTTTTCTTATGATGCACAGTCCTTTCACCATCACCACGCTCCACTCCCCACCCCGACCCCCGCACACACAAGCAGACCTCCAGGAGGAAGAGGGAACCCCCACTCCCCCAGAGGGCCTTACCTGCTGGCTGCGGGCCTTGCCGTATCTCAGATCGGTTACAAATCGCTCAGAGTTTCTGCTCCGATCACTGTACCCCATCTCCATACCAAGCATCTCATTCCCAGAACTGAGCATTTCATTTATGGGCCGTGGTTTGTACAGGTGGTCCAAGTGGTTGTTGACCTTATAGAAGCATTTTCCCACTACATCCACGAGGAGCTCCCTTTTCACCACCCCTAAACCGGTGGGGGCGCCAGCCTCAGAGTTCTCCCCTGGAATCAGACACAGGAGTATCAGGAACTGCAGGGGGAGGCGAGGGAGGGAGAGAGAAGACAGAAGACAGGGAAGAAGGGCCAGGGGATGACGCTATTGAGCTTTAGTGTCTGTTCACCAATGTGACTGGAGGATTCACAGATTTTACTCTTTTTACTAAATGAGCTGTGGATACTTTTTCAAGCTAATGAATATTCTGATGATCAGTGGCTGCTATTGTGCTCCCTTATGAATGGACATCGTCTAGTTGACCACCACCGTCATTGATCCTTCTCCTTTATGAGACTGTGGACACCTAGACATGTGGCTGGTTTAGTGAAATCTGTCTGCGCAACCAGCTAAAGGGCTGAACCTGGAGAGCGTCCAATTCGGCCCCAGCCCAGTGTCACCTTAGCCATTGGACCTCTTTCCCTGCTGCGTCACCACCTGTGGGACCACGTAGCTGCCCCTAAGGGACACAAGTGTAGGGTGACCTCAGGCACAGCTCAGGGAGAAACCAACGCAGGGTTCCCAGGGTGGCATTTGGCGTTGAATTGTCCTTTCATCATGTTAACAAATCTTTAGAAAGTTATACTTTCAACACCCTTACCTGGGGGAGCCAGGTGGATCACATAACCATCACCCACATAGAGGGCCCAGTGTGAGGAGTCGATGCTGGAAATCTCAATCAGGTCTCCAGGCTTGGGCTCTGCACGAATCTGCAAGAAAACAGCCAGGAAGGTGAGACAGATTTCAGGGAGCTGCAGAGGCCCTGGCTGGGAGCTGCAGCTAGGCCTGTAGAGTCCATGATTACTTAGTATGTTCATCACCTGGTGAGTGTGTGTGTGTTTGGGGGCGGGGGGTACGGGACGGGGGGACTCTTGGTCTCTTGAACTCCTCAGCCTGCTGTAGCTTCTAGAGGTTGCCCTGTGTGGAAGTTGAAGCCTGGAATGCCTTGTTCTGTGCATACATAACGTGTGCGTGTTGCCTACACACACACTTGGATGCAGACATGCACATGCAGGTGTACTGTGCATGTGGAGGGTGTTGACACCGCAGCGGTGTATCAACCCCTTCCTGAGGCTGGGTGTCCAGGCAACGTCAGACATGGGAGTTTGATCCTGTTTGAGACCCAGGGGACAGCCTCATGAAGGACCTGAGATTGCAACTTGTCCTAGAGCGGCTGCCTGTTTCCTGCAGGGACAGGGGCAAGGTTGGGCCTGACACACTCAGGCAGCAGGCTCTGCTGGCACATTTCCCCCCATAACTGCCACCCGCCCTAGCCCAGGGGATGGAAGCAGCACCCACGTGCTCATCTGGGGAAACTGAGGATCAGAGAGGCAGAGGGACTTGCCCAGGGACACTCAGCTGGCAGTGGCTGCACCGGGTCTTCTCTGCCCCGACCCTTCCTGGTCCCCTTTCCTCCTTCCCTTTGCACACCCCCACCTGCTCCTCAGTGTCCCCACCCAGCACACCACAGTTTCATGCTAGATAATTTTTCAGTTTTGTTCCTCTCTGTTCCTGATTTCAGGGAATGACAAACCTTCAGCCTCCCTCACCTAAGATGGCCCATTCTGTGACCAGGGTTCAGCTTACCTTTGCCCCTGTTCCATGCCAATATCCAACACCAATGGTGTCCCTCGAAGTTTCTCCTGAATTCACTTCCTCCTTCATCTCCCACCCATGACATTGGTTAAGGGCGGCCCAGTTATAATTATGTGACCCCACGTTTTCCCGACCAGCCCCTAGACTTCTGTCCCTACCATTACATATCCAGTGTGAACTTCCAGGGTTCAATGGTGGGGCCATTTGGTCCTGATGGGGGTGCATAGGGGAGGGGGATTCCTGCCTGGGCTCGTGGGGACAGAGCTCTGGGGGTGAAAGTGGGAATGGCTCTGTGGTCTGGGCTCTATCTGGGCGCCACTCTGCAGAGGGAGGATGATGGCAGAGCTGAGGGGAGACAATGGAAAAGCATGGCCTCAGGTTCACTGTGCTCTGTGTACTGTTCCCAAGTGCAGCCTGGAAACTTCTATCCCCACCCCCACCTCAGCCTGAAACAATAAACTCATACGTCCAACTGCTACTCAACAGGTCCACCTGGATGTCTAACTGGTCACCTCAAACCCCCCACATGAGCACCAAATCCTTAATTCCCCTCCCAAACCTCCTCCTCCCCTCATCTCCTCCATCCAGGCTGCCCATCACCCAATCACAGGGGCTGTGAGCCCTGGAGGTGCTGTGGTTCAGAAGAAAGAGCAGGGAGCACTGGGCATTGAATCCTGCTCCTGCCTCTTAACTAGCTGTGTTTTGGGACAAATAACTCAGAACAGGCAAAGGGGATGGGTTACAGTAGTTGACAATCTTACATAACATGTTCTTGAGCTCTTACATGGGCCACAGACCTTGAGCATCTCTTGCCCGAGGGCTCTCTGAGGCCTTAGGAGACCTGTCATGGTGCAGGGTTGGCTCAGACTTTCCCTGACAGCACACAGGGGCATGAAGAGCTGCCTTTAGGGTGGATCTTAGATACAAAGGATCCTAAATGAATAGAGGTGGCCAGAGCCCCAGAGGTCCTCCATCATCCCCTCCTTGTGCACATGGGGAAACAGAGGCCAGAGAGGAAGTGATCTGTTCAAAGACCCTGAGTGGATCAGGATCAGACCCGAGATTTGATCTCACACATTCTAACTCCCAGCCAGCAGGAAGCAGGGAGCATAATTTTGCATCATTCAGGGCAGTTTTTTCTTTTGGATGCACAGCCCTGTCACCTCCACCCCAAGCAGAAGCCCAGAAGGGAGAGGGAGCCCCCACAGAGGACCTTACCTGCTGCAAATGAGCTTTGCCATATCTCAGGTTGGTGACAAAGAGTTTACGGTTCGTGCTCAGAACACTGTCCTCCATCTCATTACCAACCATCTCCTTCTCAGCACTGATCATCTGCTTTATGGGCTGTGGTTTGTACAGGTGGTCCACCTGGCTGTCCACCTCATTGGAGGAGTTTCCCAGGAGCTGCCTTTTCACAACCCGTAAACCAGTGGGGGCACCAGACACAGAGTTCTTCCCTTGAATCAGACACAGGAGTATCAGGAACTGCAGTGGAAGGCCAGGGAGGGAGAGAGAAATCAGAAGCCAAGAAAGAAGGGCAAAGGGAATCCACTATTGAGCTTTGGTGTCTGTCCCTTCGCCAATGTGATTGGAGGATTCAGTGATTTTGCTCTTTTCCTCAACGAGCTGTGAATACTTTTCATGTTAATCAATGTTGTGATGGTCAGTGGCTGCCACTGTGTTCCATTATATGAATGGACATCATCTAGTTGAACAAGTCCCTATTATGGGCTGGTCCATAGCTTATCCATTGTAAACAACGGTAGTAAATTATATTTGTTCATCTTTGCACTGTGTGTTTCAGAACGAAATCAAAGTTGTTCTACTCCCACTGAGTTTCAGACACTCTGCGGTGCAACTTTCATATATTCCCTCACTTATTCCCCTTTTGAACTTCATGGTAAATACTCTCATCTACATTTGACAACCGATATCAGACCCTGAGGCATCATCAGCCTTTTCTGGCAGCTCTGGCCACATGGAGAGTCCACACAGCACTTCCAGCTGGTGGCGTCCAAATCCCATTGAGCCTGGAGCCCAGGTTTTGCTCTCTAAGAGGAGGGAACTAAAGAGCACACAGCCCTAGCTGGTTTGGCTCCGTGGATAGAGCAGCCGTGGGCAAACTACGGCCCGCAGGCCAGATCCGGCCCGTTTGAAATGAATAAAACTAAAAAAAAAAAAAGACCGTACCCTTTTCTGTAATGATGTTTACTTTGAATTTATATTAGTTCACACAAACACTCCATCCATGCTTTTGTTCCGGCCCTCCGGTCCAGTTTAAGAACTCATTGTGGCCCTCGAGTCAAAAAGTTTGCCCACCCCTGGTATAGAACCTGGTCAGTGACAAGCAGATTCTTCTGATCGTGAGACGGTTTCTGCCCAGCGAGAACCCAAACGCTTGCTGTCCGAGGTGTGGGTGCCATTGCTCTGCAGGGCACCAGCCCCTGTGCTCCCAGTGCGCGGTCTCATCCCAGCACCTTTCTCTCATGGACGATACACAGTGTGGGGCCTGCCTGCTCCTCTGACCGGCTGTCATCCTGCTTCTGCTGTCCCTGCGGCCCATCAAGGTTCCAGGTGCTCGTGTGCGTCTGTGTGAGACTCTCTGTGATGTGTGACCTGGGAGAGCTGCTCCGTGGAGGGTGTTCAGGAAACCCTCTCAGGACGCCCTGTTCTGTGACATCCTCTGAGCAACAGGACACAGCACTGAGAGGCAGTCCCTTCCTGAGACCAGGACCCCCAGAGACGCTGCTGGTTTAGGGAAATCTGTCTGTGTGCCCAGCTCACGGGCCCGAGCTGGAGAGTGTCCAGTGCGGGCCCAGCCCAGCTTCCCTGGGACCCACGGACCTCTTTCCCTGCTGGGTCAGGACCCGAGGGACCACTGAGATGCCCCCAAGGGACACGGATGTACAGTGAGCACAAGCCCTGCTCAGGGAGAACCCAGCAAGGGTTCCCAGGGTGGCATTTGGCTTTAATTGGTTCTCATTATATTAATCAAACTTTGGAGAGTTACACTTTCAACACCTCTTACCTGGGGGAGCCAGGTGGACCACATAACCATCTCCGACCTAGAGTGCCCAGTGCGAGGAGCTGATGCGGAAACTCTCAATCAGGCCTCCAGCTCCAGATCTTCAACAAACTGCAAGAGAAACAGCCAGGAAGGTGCAGACAAAACTGCAGGCAGCTTCAAGGGCCCTGTCGTGGCGCTGGGGCTTGGTTGGGGACACCCTTACGGATGTTCATCCTTGGGTAAGCGTGTGGTGGGGACTCCTGTCCCCTGTGAGGTCCTCAGCCTCCTGCAGCTTCTAGAGGTTGCCCTGGGGGACCCGGAAGTCGGGAATCTTTTCCCAAAGGGCGGAGCCTGGAAATATGACCTTGTGCATTAGGAGAGTGAATATTTGTCCAGTGTGTGTGTGTCATGCATGTGGGTATGGGTGTGCTGTCTGTCTGTGTGTATTGTGCATATGTATGCTGTGTTGCGTGTACACGTACACAGCTAGGATGAAGATATGTGTATGCAGGTGTATGGTGCACGTGTCTGGAGGGTGATAACATAATAACCTGTGTGTAAACCTCCTTCCCTGAGGCTGGGGCCCAGGGCAAACCCCCGCAACATTGTACAGGGGAGTCCGAGGTCCTCTGCCCTCACACTGACCCTCGTGTCCATGACGCCATCAGGAGCCTCCTCACTCTGCCCTCCAGCCCTGGGTCACCCACTCTCTGAGATGCCGACCTGAGGGACAGGAACTTACCAGGACCTGATCATTCCCAGGGGCCCCTGTGTGGCTGCCCAGCTTCTGGAGCTGGGTGGGAGGAGGAGGGCAAGTGGCTTGACACATTCGCCCAGCAGGCTCTGTGGGCACATTTCCCACCATAACTGCCACCCTCCCACAGCCCAGGGGAAGGAAGCAGAACCCACGTGCTCAGCTAGGGAAACTGAGGATCAGAGAGGGAGAGGGACTTGTCCAGGGACCCTCAGCTGGTAGTGGCTTCGCTGGGTCTTCTCTGCCCTGACCCTTCCTTGTTCTGATACCTCCTTACCCCCCTGCCTTGCTCAGCTCCTCCCTGCTCCTCAGCGTCCCGCCCAGGACACCACAGCTTCATGATCAGAGAATTTTTCAGCTTTTCTTTGTCTCTGTGTCTGACCTCAGCGAATGAGAAACCTCCTGCAGCCCTCACCCCAGGCGGCCCAACCTGAGGCCAGGGCTCCGCTTCCCTTTGCCCCATTCCAAGACGGTTCCCAGCAGCCCATGCTGACCCCAGACCTTCCTCGTCCACCTCCTGCCCCTGTTCAGGGCACCCAGTCCTGGATTTTGTGACCCACAGTTTCCCGGCAAGGTTCCTGCCTCCTGTCCCTTCACCTCCACATCCAGTCCCCCAGGACCCCGGTGTCCATCCCACATGTCCCATCTGTCCAAGACCCTCCTCTGGCCTCAGGGCACAGGATGCCCCTGGGCAGCAACAGCCCCTCCTGACCCTTCCCCACACTCCTCGCCCTCCCTGCCCTCGGCCCCCGGGCTGGCTGAAGGCCTTGCCTTTCCCTCCTCACAGGTCCCTCTGGCCTCTGCTCCTCTGCACCCCAGCTTCTCTCTGTCCCCAGTTGTTGCCCCACGCCCACTCCTCCTCTCCTCCCCCAGACAGACCCCTCCTCTGAGGAGCTGCCCTGAAGGCCCAGCCTGGCTCAGCTGCCACGCTCAGGGTCCCCAGACCCCGGGACCACCTCTCCCCACGTGATCATGCTCTGCTGTGGTCCCTGTGCCTGTCTCACCCCCTCTGGGATTTGAGCTCCATCAGGGGGTCCTGTGTGCTCGACCCCCCCTCCCTGCATCTCCTGGGTCCTGAGAGGGGCCTGGTTTGGAACAGGAGGGAAGGACCTGTGGGAGCAGGAGGGCTGGACGGCCAGGGGGCCAGGGCTCAGGCCAGGCAGGCCCAGAGTTGGTGTCCTTCTGGGGGAGAACAAGGGCATTTCTCACTCTGAAGGGAAATGTTGGATTCAGGTGAGGCCTGGGCACTGTCCCAGGAGCAGGGTAGTGAGCTGGGGCCTGGTCTGGGGTAGGCAGTGGTTCCCAGGAGCAGTGAAGCAGGTGGACTGAGCTCTGGAGGGTGCAGGCGCCTTCCCGGAATCGCCCCACTTCCTGTAAGAGCCCCGCCCACCTGGCTGCTTTCCCTGCACACCAGGCGCTGGGCCAGCCCCTCCCAGGATCCTGTGTGAGTCTGGACACCAGGGCTAATGGGGGCGGCTGTCCGTGTTGGACGCTGAGAACCAAATGGGCAGCATCAGGCAGGCAGAAGTCTGGGAGGAAGGAGGAGCGAGAACAGAGGGGCTGGGAAGGCATGAACCCCAGCAGCAGTTGAGGCCACAGGCCAGGATCCACTGCTCCCCAAGTCCCAGGTCCCCCATCAGCCCACACTCCAGCTCCTTCCCCAGCTCAGGCGGGCACAGCCCAGACACCGCACATCCTCCCCCATGGCCCCCGACCCCACACAGTGCCAGACCCAGAGCGGGGCTCCCTCTGCCCGAACACCTCCCAGTCCTGCAGCAAAAGAGACTTAAACAACATACAGGTCTCCATGGAAGCCTTAGAGACAGCGCTGGAGTTGCCAGCAGGAGCACAGCCCCAGGCCTTCATTTAATGCAGGGAGTTGCCCTCCCCTGCAGAGCCGGTTCTAAAACGTTCTGGGGACTTACCGAAGCCATTGGTCACCAGGGCAGGGTCTGCTTTCTGCTCCTAGGGCAACAGGTTTTATAACCGAGTGGACACTTTCAGTTTCACTTTCCTTTTTGTTTACAAGGACTGAACACTAAATGCTTAAAGGGACTCTCAGCGTTTCTCAGGGGACAGGCCCACGACTTCCCACCTCAAGGTCCGGCATGGCTGGGCCTGGGAGCCGCCTGGAAGCGGTGAGCGTCGCAGGGAAGCCTTACCCCTGCCCTGCCCTGGACACGGGCTCCCACTGCAGGACGGGGCATGGGAGGCCCAGCTGTCAGCCCCAGGCCCGCGTGGGCCCTCATCCTATACCCGCCCCACGAGGACAGGAGCCCCGGGCAGCCTTCGGGGCGGGACCCACGGGAAGGCCTCAGCAGGCGGGAGCCTGGACCTCAGGGAGCCCTGGGCTCATTGGCCTCGGGGTGCATGTGGGCGGGAGAAGCAGAGGTCCCCTGAGAGCGGCTTCCCCAGCCTGGCCGGCCGCTGTCCCTGGAACAGGAGGCGGAGGCAGGGCGCAGGCTCAGCCCAGCAGCTCCCGGGCACCAGGGCCCAGGCTTTTCCATCCTGTTGGTCCTGCGTCTGCTGTGATGGTGGCTGTGGTGGCAGCAGCCTCCAGGGCACAGTCTCACCGGGCCCCGCCCAAGGGCCTCAGAGCTGCTTTCATTCCCTGGTCTCCTCTGAGCAGGGAGACCCTCTCCACAGCCCCTGCGGCCGGGCCCCGCCTTCCCTGTGCAGGGCTGCGCCCATTTCCATGGGAACCCGTCCTGGGCGACGGGCAGGGGCTTCCCTGGGGGCTCAGCCCACTCGGGGCCTCAGCCAGGACTGCGGAGAGGCCGTTACTGCCCAATGAAGGGCAGGGCTGTGGCGCCAGGAGATGAGTGACGGGTGCGTGTGCGTGTGCGCGTGCGTATGCGCGTGCGCATGCGTGAGTGTTTGCGTGCGCGTGCGCGTGGGGGCTGGAGCGGGCAGGGGAGGTGGCTATTGGCCAGGCAACAAGCACCTAAGCTGCACTCACCCCTCCCTCCCCCTGTGCATGTGGCTTTGCTGGAGCCACAGGGAGGCTGCCCAGCGCTCAGGCCTCAGGGGGAGCAGGATGGGGAGCCGCACTGCAGGCGGGAGGGGGGCAGCCAGCGGGGACCTGGCAGAGCCCTTCCCTCCACCAGGAAGCTCTGTGTGCAGGGGCGCGGGAAGGCGCCGCCTCTCCCAGCCTGACCCCCATGACCCCCATGACCCCCATTGACCCCCGCTCCGCTTCCTGTCCCAATCCTGGTAATCAGTATCTTCTCTCTTTTCCTTTGTCATCTTTTAAAGAGTTTGTTGACATAAGCGATGTTTTCAAAGACTCAGCTTTTGTTTGTTCGATTTTCTCTGTTCTGTCTGTGTTTTCAGTTTCACTGGCTTCTGCGCTCTGTTATTTCCTTCCTTGCACTGGCCTTGCTTTTCTCCTCCCCTTTCCTGTTTCTTGAGGTGGAGCTGGGATAGTAATTGGAGACTTCCTCTTCCCCCACGTGAGCATTTACATTGCACATTTCCAGGTCACTGCTCCTGTACCTGCATCCCATGGATTTTTATCTATTGTCTATTTATTTGTGTGTATTAACTTACTCACCTCAATTTAACACTTTTTTTAGGGCTTCATTTTGACCCAGGAATTATTTAGAAACATGTTGTTTTCTAGGTTGTTTTCTACTTGTCCCATGATTCCTCTATTCCCTTCTTTTTCAACTTCTGCTTTTTATCTTAACCGAGTATTTTTTGTTTCCATTTCACCCCAGTTATGGACTCATTAGCTTGGCCTCCCCTTCTGTGATCTTAGTGAGGGCTTTAGGGCAGAGACTGTCCACCTCAGCACCAATGCTGTCCTGAGCCAGATCAATCCTTGCTGGGGGCCAGTGCCTGCAGGACATGTAGCCGTGGGGGCTCAGCTGCTGCTGGGGTTCATGCCTCCCCAGCCCCTCTGTTCTTGCTCCTCCTTCCTCCCAGGCATGTGTCTGCCTGATGCCGCGCATTCCATTCTCAGGGTCAGACAGGGACAGCTCCCCCACCCCTAATAGCCCTGGTGTCCTGACCACAGGGGATCCCGGGAGTGACCAGCCAAGCGCATGGTGTGCAGGGAAAGCAGCCAGGTGGGCGGGGCTCTTACAGGAAGTGGGGTGATTCCGGGAATTGCCTGCACCCTCCAGAGCTCAGTCCACCTGCTTCACTGCTCCTGGGAACCACTGCCTCCCCCAGACCAGGCCCCAGCTCACTGCCCTGCTCCTGGGACAGTGCCCAGGCCTCACCTGAATCCAACATTTCCCTTCAGAGTGAGAAATGCCCTTGTTCTCCCCCAGATGGACACCAACTCTGGGCCTGCCTGGCCTGAGCCCTGGCCCCCTGGCCCTCCAGCCCTCCTGCTCCCACAGGTCCTTCCCTCCTGTTCCAAACCAGGCCCCTCTCAGGACCCAGGAGATGCAGGGAGGGGGGGGGGGGCGCCGAGCACACAGGACCCCCTGATGGAGCTTCAAGCCCAGAGGGGGTGAGACAGGCACAGGGACCACAGCAGAGCATGATCACGTGGGGAGAGGTGGTCCCGGGGTCTGGGGACCCTGAGCGTGGCAGCTGAGCCAGGCTGGGCCTTCAGGGCAGCTCCTCAGAGGAGGGGTCTGTCTGGGGGGAAGAGAGGAGGAGTGGGCGTGGGGCAGGGACTGGAGACAGAGAGTAGCTGGAGTGAAGAGGAGCAGAGGCCAGAGGGACCTGTGGGGAGGGAAAGGCAAGGCCTTCAGCCAGCTCGGGAGGCCAAGGGCAGGGAGGGCCAGGAGGGTGGGGAAGGGTCAGGAGGGGCTGTTGCTGCCCAGGGACATGCCTGTGCCCTGAGGCCAGAGGAGGGTCTTGGACAGATGGGACATGTGGGAAGGACACCGGGGTCCTGGGGGACTGGATGTGGAGGTGAAGGGACAGGAGGCAGGAACCTTGCCGGGAAACTGTGGGTCACAAAATCCAGGACTGGGTGCCCTGGACCGAGTCATGGGCAGGAGGTGGACGGGGAAGTGAATCAGGAGAAACATCCCAGGTGAGTGTGGGCTGCTGGGAACCGGCATGGAATGGGGCAAAGGGAAGCGGAGCCCTGGCCTCAGGTTGGGCCGCCTGGGGTGAGGGCTGCAAGAGGTTTCTCATTCGCTGAGGTCAGACACAGAGACAAAGAAAAGCTGAAAAATTCTCTTCTTGAGCTGTGGTGCCCTGGGCAGGACACTGAGGAGCAGGGAGGAGGTGGACAAGGCAGAGAGGGAGGGAAGAAAGGGGACCAGGAAGAGATGGGACAAAGAAGACCCAGTGCAGCTACTGCCACCTTAGTGTTTCTCCTGAGGTACCCTTTACCTTCTGGAGTTTTTCCTAATTGGGAAAATGGGTTGGATTTTGCATGGTATTTGTTATATTAATACTACAGCGTTAATTCTCACAGTAATAATGCAGCATTAATTCTCACAGTAATGCTGCAGTATTAATTCTCACAGTGATGCTGCAGTATTGGTTCTCACAGTGAGGCTGCAGTATTGGTTCTCACAGTAATGCTAGAGTGTCCAGCATGTGAGAGCTGTCAGCTCACTAAGTCCTGACCATCAGCTGTTATGCCCAGATTTCAAGATTCCCAAGAAACCACATCAGGGAGCCATCCAATCCGATGCAAAAGCATAAGAATCTGTATTTCAAGCTAGCTTGAGCTCTCCATCCACCAGACTCACCGACACATCGGCTAGCCAAGTGGCCAAGAGACAGAACCCTGCCTAGAGACGGTTTTTAAAGGGGGGGGGTTGGAGTAAGGGGAGGAGAAAGGACTGTGCTCTGCCGATTGGCCAGGCGCAAGTCGATGTCTTGTTCCTGGGTGTGGCTAGCAGAGTCTTAGACTTCCGGGAAGAACCTTCTTGCCAAGCACGTGGCCAAGGTAAGATGGAGGACGTAGCCCTTACCCTGGGGCAAGGTGGAGAGTGTAGCCCTCGCCCTTTCATCAGCCATGGGGACACAGAGTTCAGGCAACTTCTCCAACATGTCAGACATGAGGTGAGGAGTGAACCTGGGTGTATCCATCCCTGAAGAGCACCTTTCAGTCTGGAAGCACATTCCAAGGGATCCTCATCCCAGGACAGTGGCTGTGGGCCGCAGTGCTCTGAAAGTCACGGACAGCCAGTCCGGTCTCACACTGCGGCTGCCCAGCCGGGAGCCCTTCTTCAGGGCCCTTCACCCAAGTGTGTCCGGGCCAGTGATCTGGCCTTGTCCTGAGTGTAGAGGTGCTGGGCAGGCTGGTCCTCATGTCCTGCTCTTACCATCCCCCGTAGATCCCAACCCAGAGGCGCTGGCAGAGAGGCACAGAAAGTTGTACCAAAGCCATCTGTGCACAGAGAGGAGGGGCAGCTGGTCCAGCCTGAGGCAGTGAGGTGCCCAGAGGAGAGACTGTCTGCTGGGAGGAGAGTGTGTGTCACACGGGGAGGGTACGGAGGGTGTAGGAGGGAGAGAGAACATGGCATCAAAGGAGCAGGAGAGAGAGCATGAGGTGGGGAAGCACAGGTAGCTCAGGAAGAGCAGTACAGAGAGAGGAGAAGAGGGATGAGGGTGAGAGGGTCAACGGTGAGAGGGATGAGGGTGAGAGGATGAGGGTGAGAGGATAAGGGTGAGAGGGACGAGGGTGAGAGGGACGAGGGTGAGAGGAACGAGGGTGAGAAGGACGAGGGTGAGAGGGAAGAGGGTGAGAGGGACGAGGGTGAGAGGACGAGGGTGAGATGATGAGTGTGAGAGGATGAGGGTGAGAGGGAAGAGGGTGAGAGGATGAGGGTGAGAGGGAAGAGGGTGAGAGGATGAGGGTGAGAGGATGAGGGTGAGATGATGAGGGTGAGAGGGACGAGGGTGAGAGGATGAGGGTGAGAGGGACGAGGGTGAGAGGGAAGAGGGTGAGAGGATGAGGGTGAGAGGATGAGGGTGAGAGGATGAGGGTGAGAGGGACGAGGGTGAGAGGATGAGGGTGAGAGGATGAGGGTGAGAGGATGAGG